ACTGGCCCCAATTGCATGGGCCTAGGAGAGTTGGCTCTGAGTGGGTGGTCCCAATGGCCAGAGTCACCAACTCAGCTGCCACCCAGACCCACATTGTGGGCCTTGGATTGGCCCACCCTAAAAACTGTCCAATCTATGACCTGCTGAAGGGCATGAAAGGATTGGTCCTGCACATTGCAAACTGCAATTTCACCATGACTCAGGCAACAACAGGATAGCTGAGAGGAGTTTAGATGAGGGCCCAGTGACAATAGTGTATGACAAACTAGAGGCCTTCGACCAGACCTTGAACATTTTACAGGTAGGGCTGATTGGACAAAAGGGGTATACTACATGACACACGGCAGCTCCTGATGCAGCTAGGATGAATAAGAGGTGTTGGAAAGATGGAGGAGAGAGGTGGGCTTTTTGTTTGTTTTGCTGTTAATTAATTTTGGGGGGCATACTGCAGGAGTGGACATGGAGGGACTGGGAGGTGAGCAGGTTTGGGGTGCATGGCATGAAATTTCCAAAGAATCAATAAAGAATTATGCTAAAAGAAAAGAACTATGTCTGAAGTACTCTTTCCAAATTTAGATGTTTAAATTTGGCGATTTTTTTTTTAACCAAACTCAACCTAAAGGACAAGTGCTAAGTGAGTTATAGATCAGGGGTTGATTCTTGAAATTTCGATGGAAATAGTTTAGACAAAGATAGATTCAACAAGGTAGACAGAAAGAAATGAAATGCATTTCTGGAGGAAAGACAAGGCCACACTGGAACTCATTATAGTCGCAGCCAATGAGCAGTTGAGAACCAATATCTGATATATGATTTAATATCCAGAAATCACTTAATATTAACTCTTCAGTAACACACACTCAACTTAAGAATTTGGCTTGCAATTGCTACTAGTTTTTTACATTAGCTGTTTTTAATTCTTTCAAGTGTTTCTTTGGAGGCAAAAATAAACGTTAGAATAAAACTGAATTTATTGAGGACCTTTACTTAGATTAATTTGGTAATAAAAGCATTTTAAATTTCTAATTTACTAAGCAATGTCACTGGAATGTTGAGTTACTTTAGTTTTATTATGATGATCAAAAGAGATAAATACAGGCCTAGCCACATTGGAAAGAGAGAAGAGGAAACAGTCTCTCTGTATAATTACTGGTTTTTCTCATTCCAGTATCTTCACTATTTCTAAAGAGTCTGTTTTTTAGGACTGTTTATCACCCATGTTGTCCCGATTTACCCAGAAACATGTAGAGTACTACTATATTTTTCATTAGTCAATTTAATGAATTAAATTTTGGTAAACAGTGTTAACTAAAAATTGTGTAGTTTATTCTTATAAGTATGAAACTTAAAGAAACAAACCAAATTCTCTCAGGAATAGGAGAACCAAGAGTTCAAAGTCAGGCTGAGCTTCATAGCCAAATCATGTTTCAAAACAATTATGACAGAAAAACCCTTGTTTCCAAGTATCAGCTTAAATGAATGACTAAAAGCAGGGTTGGAAATTTAGTATCATGAGATTCAGATGGCTTTTGATAATGAATAATGAGGAATTATCCTATCCTGTTTAAGAAGACAAATGCTTAAAAACTATGTAAGTTTGGAAGAAAAATGTAAAAAAGAAAGGAAGTTTGTCCGAAGGAGAAAGAATTAAAGAAAAAGCTACCAGATCAGATATTCCATCATTAGAAAATGAGTGTAAATCTTATTTTTTCTTGGCTTTAAAAATAATTTGTTCTTTGCCACATCTAAACATACTGTTAACCTGGAAGAAAAATGATTCATTTTTCTATATGACTAAATTTATTAATTGCCATGAAATTGACATCTTATAAATAAAAACAAGAATCAAATGAAATCTCTGTAGTTCCTGATCCCCAAATTATGACCGTTTTAATGAAATACTTAAAATATACTTACAAAGAACCAATTAATATAATTACAGTGGATTTAAACAATACATATGCACTGAATCTGTTTCTGGAAAACATAGCTATTCTGTTATTTTGTTGTTGTTTCTAAATGAGAAAGGTGGCATATACAATGCATATAAGAAATGCAAAATTTTTAAAACGAGGGAGCCTGTAGTCTTCTGTCATCACCATCCCACCCCCCAAAATAAATAAATGAAAAGCCAACAGCCCAATACCAGTTTGCATGGAAATCTTCCGACTGATGCCTCTGAACATTACTGGGGTTTTTAACAAGGACAGCAGCATATCCAAGTAGTTAATGTAACAGAATTAGGGCGCAGGCAGCAACTTGCATCCATCCCCTGCCAGTTGACATGATTATTTCTTTGCCTCTTCTCACTGGCTCATTCTACTCCGCTTTACTTGATTCCCCACCCCCTCTACCCCTCTTCCCACAAAGCGTGAGGCTGTCCCTGGTAGGGCAGTGGAAGGTGCCTGGCAGGGAGTGAAGAGCCAGCGGGAAAACAGGGGAGAGCATGCTGTGCCCAAGCTGTGGCCGCCACTTGAGCCCGGGAAGGTTGGGAGGGCGGGGGTCGGGAAGGATCCCAGGGCCACCCCCAATCCTCACGAGTGCTTGGGACCAGGGAACTGCAGCACACAGCAAAGCACAAGGCGCGGGCTAGGCAGTTCAGGGCTGGGCCCCCGCAGAGAGGGGCGGGCGGGCGGGGGGTGGGGCGGAGCGCAGCGCTGCGCGGGTGGCGGGAAAGGGGCGGAGATGAAAGCTTGGCTTGCTCTGGTCGCTGGACCCAGTAGCAGAACCTGCATGCCAGGTGGACGACCGGTCCCCCAGGCTCTAGGGAAGCTCTTCCCTCTCCTCTGAGGGAGCGAGGCCATGTGTGGGGTTCCACGGTCTGCTCATGGTAGACTTCTCAGTCAGCTGGAGACAGCGCACCGGCGGACTCATCCTGCGTTCAGGTGGGTACCCCCACCCCAAGCAACAGTGGCGCCTTGCCCACTTCTGGGGTCGCCAAGGCCCGGGAAGCAGGGCTGCTGTGGTCATCGTGGGTAAGGGCCCACCAGGTCCCAATTGCCAAAGAAGGGTGCTCGGCCCCATAGGGCGCGGGCTTGAACGCGCGCTCAGAGTAGGTTAGGGAGAGATGCGGGAGAACTAATGCCTGTGGGATTCGCTCCTTTGGGTCTCTTAGGCGGTCCTCACCAGGACTCCTTGGAGGAGCTGAGCTTCCTTCCACTGTAGAGTCTGGCGACCGCGACCGACCCCTTTACCCACCTGCGATCTGGGTGGTGGTTGCTTGTCACTCCAGCGTTTCCGATCCCCACCCAACAGCCACCAAGGAGCTGTTGACCCTGCTTCTGGCCCGCGGGGACTTAAGGGACTGGGTGAGGGGAGAGTGGCAGGACTGCCCGGGTAAGGTTGGAGTTGCTAGAGTATTGTGTGCCAGATCGTTGCCACACCCGGGGGCTCCCTCCTGCTGTCCAAGCTGGGGTGGGGGCTGGGGTGATGGGGGTGCAGAACTTCCCTCCGAGGGCTGGCGGTGCAGAAAATCCTTGGGCGCTCATGCACGTTTGCATTGCACGAGGGCTTCATGGAGGCACGTGGGAGCGGAATTGGTTCTTGGCGGGTACTCAGACCTTCTTTGGGATGGTGCAGCATATGATCGGGCTTGGGAAGGGAGAAGGGTCTCTCTCTCTCTCTCTCTCTCTCTCTCTCTCTCTCTCTCTCTCTCTCTGTGTGTGTGTGTGTGTGTGTGTGTGTGTGTGTGTGTGCGCGTGTTTGTCTGATGAACACTCTAGAAAGGAGGAGGCTAGTGTCTGAAGGAGACTTGGTTGGCCAGGATTTGTGCAGTTCCCTAAAAAACAAGCTTTTGAGCTTTAAAGTAAATGATTGGTAAGTGGGATGCATCTCTGGTGTGGGCAATGAGGCCCGGGCTTGGCTGGGTAACGAGCTAGCATGTGCAGTGGGGTCTTTCTCAGCAGGGAGTGGGCGCGGGAAGTGCTTCTCAGTGGATAACATGTTGGAACCAGGGAGGAGGTGGCCACTTGTCCTGGGAAGATGAGCTGCCTCTTTGCAGCGCAGCAGTCATGCAAGGTGCTTCCTCCTATTTTCAATTAACCACAGAATTTTAAAGTTTGTATCTTTCCCTCTGACACAAACCCTTCTTTTATCTTGTGCCTGCTCGGATTCTCTGGTAATTGCTTGTGCATATTTTATTCCTATGTTCTTTCTGTGACTTTTCAAAGAAAGAATTCATCTGTATTTTAATCAGAAGGATGGTGAAATATCTTTTAGTTTTTATTTATTCAAATCAAGGCCAGGACACTATGAAGACCCACAGAAAACCTTTAGATTGAACTTATCTCTGTTCAGACTGGAATCATAATTTTTAAATAGATACCTTATGACCTTGTGATAAAGTAAGCTTAGCACGGGCTTTATCTCTTTTTATCTGGTTAATTTATGGAATTCTTTCTCAGATAATCATACTGGGCAAGTTGACTTCTAATTTTAAATGGTAGGTCTCCAAATGGCTGTAAATTATGCTGGCACGTGCTCCCTCTCTTCTCCTCCTCCCTTCCCCTCCCCCTTCTCCCTTGCTCTCTCCCTTTCACACACACACACAAACAACACTGGCGCGTTCTCGAGCGCGTGCGCGCGCGCGCGCACACACACACACACACACACACACACACACACACACACACACACACACACACATCCCCCATCTCCTCTCCTTTTCCTCTCCAGACTAGTAGCCTGGACCCAGTAGGTAGCCCTGGATGGTCTCAAATGTGTTTTCATTTTCCTTCTCTACCTTCCCCAGCGCTGGGATTAGCAGAATTCAACATCTCTTTTAATGAACTATTCAGAAAGCCACTTGGTTGATGATCTAGGACTTGGTATGTTTCGGGTTTCTAATCAACTACTTTACCTAACCATCATGAAAGGAGACACCTTAGGTATGTTTCTCTAGGAGAAAGAACACTTTGTCCTCTTACAGCAAATATTTTGCCACTTTTTCTCCCGTTTTCTCTGTTAGATGCCTAGGAAAGATGCATTGCTGATGAATAATACATGATTTATTTCTCTTTTATGTCTACAGGTGGCAGTGTCAAAGCCAAAAGCTTCCAGAAGTGGTTTCTGAAAAATAAAGAGTTGAATGTACATGAGTAAGCAAACACAGGAATCTGAAAAACCACAGGTATGTAAGACAATTAATCTACCGATCCATAATTATTGCATTCTAGTAGTACTAACCCACTTGTTTTTATGCTAAATATTTTGACATTTCTATTGACTTTTGTGAAGTGAAACATATTTTGAGGTGCTCTCAGAGAAAGCAAGGCTAATCTATTTCAGATAGTACATTTAAATAAAAATATGCAGTACACCAGATTATCCCTGTTTGCTGTTCAAAAAAAAAAATGAGAGAGAGAGAGAGAGAAGCATTGTGTTTTCACTGTGTCTACATGGTGAGCTTTAAGGAGTAGTCTGATCCTTTCTTTTCAAAACATTTTTTTAAAACTTTAAAATTGACAACTGCACCAGACGATTTTTTAAGTTGTACTTCTGATTTGTCTTACTGAACAAATGTAATAAACGGCTGCTGTTAATTCCATATCACATTGATCAGGCTTCTTTTTACTTCTGACTTACGTGCTTCTGCCTCCCAAGTGTGGGCATTGTGGGTGTGTGCAACCTCTACTGGTTTATGCTGGGGCTTTGTGCATGCTGGGCAAGCATTATACCAGTTCCCCCAGCCCAGGTAATTTATTTTACACTAGTTTTTCTGTGCTTAATACTTTCTCATCACTTCCCAATTATTGCCTTGCTTCTTTGCCAACCCACCAATTTGTCCATTTGACTAAATTAAGGGCATGTTATATCCAATGTATAGACAATCAAGTTTGTAAAATTATGCAGCAAAAGGCTTTGACTCTTATAAGATTTTTGCATATTAAGGTATTTAATATTCATATTATTACTAATGACAGGTGCCAGAGGAGGTAGGGAAAGACATTACCCCTTTTTAAATTTCTTGAGAGGAAGCTGTGCCAATTTTGAGTGTTTAGGGTTAGGCAATAAATGTCCCTTAATAAAAGGAGTGCAGGTTTCTCTTAGTGTGGGTAGATGGTGGGTGGAAAGAACAGCTATGGGAGGGGTGTCATACATTTATCAAATAATGGAGTGTTATATAACACTGTAACCTGCCTGGCAGAAATGGAGATATTCTAAAAAGACATGTGTGTCTCAATCTGATTATCAGACCATTGAAACAGTGGACAACAAAGAAATGGGAATTTCCCCAGGAATCTCATGCTGCAGAAAGAAAAGCCATCAGCCAGCTGGGGAACTTATCTCTAGGAGAAAGGTTTCACACAGATGTAACAACTTGTCAGAACACCTTACAGCCAGATAATGATGGGTCTTTGTAGGTGGGACCATACCTTAGCCAGAACTGATTAAATATGCAAATCCTTGGGGCTATATTTAAACTTTGATCTTATTTCAGGACCCTGATTGGCTTGGGGTACTGGATCTCTTTGTCTCTTTCCCCAGTGTGTCCACTTTGAATACATTTCCTGCTTTTCTAATTTCCATGTTTAATTTGGCTCTTTTAATTGGCTTGCTGATGGTGATTGTCAGGAAGTGACTTGACACAGATGTGGATAACACATTATGATATATACATATATATCATATATAAATAATTATGCATGCACAACTTTTTAGGTTGTGGCCAGAGATGCTGCTGGGAATGCAACTCAGGGCCTTGAGTGCATATAAGGCAAGTGTTCTGAAAATTAAAAAGGACTATAGTGGTGGTATATCATTTTAATCTTTGCTCTTGGAAGCAGAAGCAGGTGGAATCTGTGCTATGTAGTGAGACTCTGTCACAAACAAAGCAAAACAAAAGAACACCCTTAGTTCCAGCACATGGGAGGCAGGGCCAGGCAGATCTGTGGCTAGCCTGGTCTACAGAGTGAGTTTCTGGACAGCCAGGGCTGTGCAGAGAAACCCCGTCCCAAAAAAACCAAAACCAAAAACCCAAAAGATAACAATGTCCAGTTGGACATTTGGCCAGTCGAAAGCAAACAGGAGATGTAGATTCCAAGTATAGACTAAATTAAATGAAAACCAGTTATTATAAAAGCCCAATAAATACAGAGTACTTTTAGGAAAGGGACCACTGATAAACAGGAACAGGAAGTTTGCTCTGAGGGAGGCTTCAGATTCATCAGGTGTCTTGGGAAATTGGCAATTCTGGGTACAATATAGTCCAAACTTGTAAGTCAGAAAAGGAAAAAAAAAAGGTTGCAATTTGTTAACTTTTAAATCAGATTTCTAATTAAAGAGCTGGGGTGCTTTACATATAATTTACCTTTGAGATAGAGCAAATATTTAATAAAAGCACATGTGCATTAATCCAAAATATGATTGACGATAACTTAATGTTTTCTGTGAATAGGCAGCCTGTGGCAGATGAAACCTAGTACATTTCCAGCACTTCAGGAGAGTTCTTGCTCAGTCTATTCAATATTCATCTCAACACCATCATGAAGGTAAAATAAATTGCCATTAAAAGAACAAAAAACTTAATCTACCGCTTTAACCTGGTTTTAAGGTCCGTATAAATATCATACAATAGGAACTCTGTGATGTATATCTTTTTTTCACAGGTGTGCTAAGTAGTTCATTGGAATATATTGAGTGATAATTTACTTGATTCCTGTTACATCTCTGAATAGTGTGGAGGATTTGTCTAAAATGAATAAAGCATCTTTGAACATTATTGCTTGTGCTCTTTGGTTCACATTTTTACTTAGTTCTCCAAGCATAAACTTAGGTAATATAGTGTGGTACTTATAGCATTGAGCTTCAGTAGACTATGTCAACAAACAATTTTCCAAAGTGGTTGTGCCAATTTAAATTCTACCAGTGGAGTGTAAGAGCTCTGATTCCTCTCTACACTCTAAACAACACCATTTATTTATTTATTTGTACACTTTTACCATATTTGTTGCCGAGACTGGTCTATAATGCCTAAGCTGAAGTGATCCTCATCTTCCCAAGCAGGACACTAGTCACACATCATTTTTTTTTTATTTGGATTTTACCTATTTTTGATGAGGGCATAGTGTTTTTATTTTTATTTTTTGTAGGTTTAAAAATAGGCTTTAAAATGGTGATTAAAAACATACATGCATGCAATTTAGAAAACCAAAACTCGGATGAACTGTAATACCTTATTCCCCTATGCTATTATGGCAACCAACATTCTAGTTTCTATTAATTTGACACTGTAATTTGTCTTCTCCTCCTCCTTTTCTACAGTGCCCTGGGTTTCTTTCTTCCTTTTCCTTCATTCTTTCTCCTGTTCTTCCCCCTCCTTAATAGCTTATTTCACATAGAATACTGCCTCAAGGAAGGTCTGCCCATGTTGAAACACTTGCTATTAATATGTGTATGTGATCTGCTAGCCATTCATTTGTTCATAGATTCTTGAGTAGTGCCACCTTCTGGCTGTTGAGAATAATGCTGCTGTACACATAAGGCTACAGATACCTCCTTAAGGTTCTGCTCTGAGTTTTTTCAGTATATATACAAAGTAAAGTGACTGGAGAAATTGTATTTTTAATGTTTTGTAGAACTGCTATGCTGTTTATAGTGTTTAGAACATTTTACTTCCTAACAATAATGTGAAGGTTCTAGTTTCTCCACAGCCTTGCCAAAGCTTGTTAATTTCTATTGTTTTTTTTTTTTTTTTTTTTTCCCCGTAGTACCCATACTAATTAGTGTGAGGTGATCCTTTTGGGTTTAAAACCATTTTTTTGAGTAGTGATGCTGAATACTATAGATGCCATTGATACTTGTATATTCTTTGTGAGGGCCTGTTCAGGTCTCCCCTATCCCTTTAAGGCAGTAGCTCAAACTTGTCCTGTACTTGGTATGTAGCACAGGCTGAAGGCCTCCAACTGGTGATTGTCTTACCCCAGGATCCCAAGTGCTGGGAGTAAAGGCATGAAGCACTATGCCCAACATTTTATAATTTTTGATCCCCCCTTATTCTGTTGTAAGAAACATATTCTGTGTGAATCCTTTGTCAGATGTATATGTATGAGTCTTTATGGTTTGGTAGTATACAGCTATCATCCTATTATTCAGGAACTTGGGTAAGAAGAAGGCTGCTAGTGAGAACCTGCTTCAGAAAAAAAAATTCACTCAACCCATGGTTTGTGTTTTTATCCTTTGTTCTTTGTTTTGAAATGCATTTTTATTCTTAACATGCCTTTGACATTTTTAATAAAGTACACTTGCTTTTCTTTTCATTTATAACTGTTGCCTTTTGTTCTATCTAGGAAATCTTTGTCTACTTCAGAGTTCTTTTCATTTTTAAATTTAATTTTGAAACAGGGACTAACAGTCCTGCCTGGGCTGCTTCTAACTTGAGCAGATCCTTCTGCTCTAGCCTCCTGCGTGCTGGCTTTACAGCCATGTACCACCATGATGACCTTGTATTGCTTTTAAAGCATCTCATTAACTATGGCCACCTGTGGTAAAAGGAGCTGGTTGCCAGCTGCCTGGGTCAGCTGGCAACCATCAGGAAGAAATCTCCGTTTAGTGTTGAGGTCACTCTCCATAGACCGAAATGAATAGAGTTCTTTAAACAAGTGACAACCCTCTGAAGTGACAATTTTGTCCCAGCACAGTGTGTTCCCATTACTAGCCCCTGCCACACAGGCTGCACTCACTAAGCCTTTTTTCCCCTGCTATCATCAGGGCCTGCTCTTTTAAAAGCTTTTTTAATTGCTGAGGGCACATGAATATAATTTATTTGGTGGCTGTTGTCTTATGCTAGCTACAGAGTTAAGTAGAACTTTCTCTAAAATGTTTGAGTCCAGAAGTACTTTATGTTTTACAATATTTGTCTCTACCTGAGTTTAAGCCTGACTGCCATTAATATTTATATTATTCACTTATTCATGTTGCCTAGTGGTAATCTTAAACTATTTATTTAGTATGTCTGTTTTGACTATCATGTGATGTCAGTCATGAAATTTTTCAGATTTTGGTGCATTTCTGGTTATGGATTTGGGCTGATCAACTTATATAAGCACATTTCAAATATGTGACCCAAGAATAAATCTGATTATCCATTGTTGTAGTAGGTGGCATAAAGGGATTTCAAAAGTTGTATGTACCACCCTGCTTTCTTGGTTGATTGAATGAATTTAATTATAATCCCAGTTCTCATGAGTCAGAAACAGGAGATTTAGTCCAAGTTTGATACCACTCTGGTCTAATGAGTGGGTCTCTATCTCAAAAATCAAAATAAAACTATTTAAAATGATCAGTGTTTTCTCTGGATTTAGATGCCCTCACTCATGGTTCATCATTAAGTCCTGGTTAGGGTGGTTAGGGCAGGAGTATCTATCCAGTGGGAAAGACTGATAGCTGAAGGAGAAAATGGGCAAAGTTGATGCTTCAAGACTTCCCTCTTCCCCAGGATTTTGCTATCCATTAGCTATTTGTTTTCTTCATCTTTATCTTTACTGAATGTTCTTCATTTATACCTTCACTTTCATCTTTTGAAGGACCCCCTTTTCCTACGTTAACACTAAAGAGGCAGATCAGATATTTGAGGCCAGCCTGGGCTATATAATGAGACTGTATCATTTTGTTTTTGTTTTTGTTTTTTCAGACAGAGTTTCTTCTGTGTAGCCCTGGTTGTCCTGTAACTTGCTCTGTTGATCAGGCTTCCCTTGAAGTCCAAGATCTACCTGGCTCTGCCTCCAGAGTGCTGGGATTAATGGTGGGAGTCAACCATTGCCTGACTGTGACCCTGTCTTTAAAACAAACAAAATAAAAATAAAATTCAACCAAACAACAAAACAAGATGCCCTGAGTCTTGTTAGTACATCTTTTGGTATCTATTTCCCTACTCATGGTCTGGATCAACTTATTAACAGCCTGTTGCCTGCTTCCCTGAGGATGTACCACAAGTGCCTTTTTTTGTAGGGAACATGGGCGTTTCTTTCCAATCTACTCTTCTGTTCTTTCTTTTAACATGCTTCTAGGGTTCCAAAGTAGTAGAGCCTCGGCATGGTTCCTGATCTTCCCACAACTTTTCTTACCTTCACAGCCCATATTAGTTGATTGTCAAGTGTCCTGAACTTTGCTTTTGTCTCTGAGGCATTGTTCAAAGAAATCTGTTCCCCATGTTCATTGGCCCTTGAGAATGTAGTAATTGTTTTCTAACTGGTCTCCTTGAATTGGACTCTGGCTCTAATCCATCTTCCACTTGTAATTAGCTTTCTTATTCCATTTATTCCTTAGGGATGATTTGTAGCATTCAGTCTTATAAGAGGGATTCAAATTCCATAGCAAGATGTACAACATGAGACCCTTTAGTATTTGCCTTCCGTCTGTTTAACTGCTCCATCATCTGCCATTTCCTCCCTCTACTCCATCTGCCCTAAACTGTTTGCCACCCCTAGAACATTCCTTGTTCTTTCTTGTATCTCTGTTTTTGCTTTTTCACCATCTTCTGTTTTGTTTCCTTCTGCTGGGGAAGGAATTCAGATTGTATGTGCTAGATAAGTGTTCAAGCACTGGGCTACTTTCCATTTCCATTCTCCTTGTTAAAATGGTGTATTTTTAAAATCATCCCAGACAGTTTTAAAGTTCTCACCTGGAACTAGCTATGTAGCTCCTACTGGCCTTGAACACATCTGTCTGCTTCTCCCTAGTGCTATAATTAAAGATGTGTAATACTATGCCCATTCAAATATGGCCTTTTTGAACCAATTTGTCCTCCTAAGTAGACCTTGTTACTGCTACTCCTTTATATGGGGGGAAATGACTGGAATGGCAGGTACTGTTCTGTGGTGATCTTTATTTCCAGTAACTGCCTCATCAGTCCTTGAAATAATGAAGACTTAATTATTGTTTATAAAATGAGTTGATGAAGAATTGATTCTTTATTGTCTAAGGTAGATTTTACTGTTTAACAAACCATCAAACTACCAAGTTTAGTTAGTGATTTTTAAACCACCATCCCTTAGATACTGATTTTAGGAGTAGAATGTTTAGGGAAGCTAGGATTATTGGCATAACTTCTGATATTCACTTGTGATTTGGGTGGTTTGGAGGATGACTCTTTTTGGCTTCAACTACTTACTCTACATGCTTTCTAGTTCATAACCACATAGATCAGGCTTGTTCACACTGTGTGGTAGTCAGATTTTTAAGGTAGTATCTAGACTTGAAAGAAATTACTACTGTCTGAATGAATTCAGTTAGCCAGATGTAGTACTGATAGAGAAGGTGGAAAAACATTACGCAATGAGGGGAACTGAAATTCTGTTGCAAGAAATCTGAGTAGAGAGAGGGTAATAATAGAAACTAGTTTTTGAAATCAACCTAGGAGTAAGAATAAGATAATAGACCCAGCTGGGGCCAGATGTTTTATTTCACTATTTCACTAGCAGTAGGCAGGTTTGAACTGATTCATTAGTCTTAATTTTGCCTAAGGTGAACCCAAGATGGCCTTGTGGCTGGC